GTTGTCCCCTCGCACACATGCGCTTCTGAGGGTGCGGCGGTTTTAAGTCCCACACGTGGATATTAATTGGCCGATACGTTAATATATCGAGGACCGCAGAGCTTGGCAGGGTGGGGGTAGAGAGCAATTTATTAAATCCTTTATATTAAGTTCACTTGCTTGCTTGCTTGCGCACTTACGACCGTGCAAATCTTTCGGTCGTTTTTTAACCCACTTCCCCTGATCCAATCGAGCTGACGTTTTGCACACAGACTCGTTGTGCGTGGCAATTTCTTTTCGTGAAAAACATTTTCCAAAATGTTACACTTTTTAGGTAAAAAACATTTATATTTAATTACCAATTGCTTAATGGTGGCAGGCAATCATCTGACCCATAGGTGGCAGCCATCTCAAGCCAGAGGACGAGAGGACTCTAGCCGCCCGTTTCAAAGACCTATGTGGGCTGGGTTGTGGCCCATTGAACACGCATATAAAGAATTTATAGTGAAAAACTTAGTTTTTACGGGTTAATTTTTTATTTTGATTTCCGATGTTTCACTCCTCGTGCTGGCAGGTGTCTGGCCTGGATCTGGATTCGATCCCAGGATCTCAGCGACGCGAGCTCAATGGTCTGTCTGACCTCTGAGCCACCTCGGTCACATCGAGGATTGGCTCTTTGAAATGCAATCACATCTCAATTTAACGTCTGTTCTGGAAAACAAACAAACTTGATAACCTATATTTAATAAACAATTTCCCATGTAACCCACACTGGTTGCATGCAAACACTTTCCTATCCACTTATTGTATCGTCTCTCCGCAGATGGCCTCATAATGAACTTCATAATTCACTCACTTTAATCCACTTAATCCTCCTGCTCTCAATATAGTTGTAATCTGAGGGCAAACGAGCATCTGTGGGTTATCGAACATCGTCTAGGACACTGCTTCGGTTATGAGACCATTTTGCAAGATTACGTTTTATGTATTGGAAGCATATGACCAAGTATACTGTTAGTATTGTGATCGTCCCTCCGTGAACCAGTGAACAAATGTGTCACTTAAATATTACAATAATCACAATTTATAACGTGCACATACTTCGTGCTTCGGACTCGATGTTCGATCGAGGCATGGAACTGAAACTCAAACTCCCTCGTACGCCAGTCTGAGCAGGTGAGAGCCTGGACATGTTAGAGGCTGGATGGGTGAGGGCATGAACAGGTGACGGCATGTACAGGTAAGGGCCTCGACAGGTGAGAGTCTGGATAGGTAATGATGGCCTGAACCAAGTAAGAGCCTGAACAGGTGAAGGCCGGAACAGGTGAGGGCCCGAACAGGTGAGAGCCTGAACAGATGAGAGGCTGGACAGGTGAGGGCTTGAACAGGTAAGATGCTGGAGAGGGTGAGGGCCTGGACAGGTGAGGGCCTCAGCAGATAAGAGCCTGGAAAAGGTGAGGGCTTGAGCAGGTGAGAGCCTGAACAGGTGAGAGCCTGAACAGGTGAGAGCCTGAACAGGCGAGGGCCTGAACAGATGAGAGCCTGAACAGGTGAGAGCCTGAACAGGCGAGGGCCTGAACAGATGAGGGCCTGATGAGGTGAGAGCCTGAACAGGCGAGGGCCTGAACAGATGAGAGCCTGAACAGGTGAGAGCCTGAACAGGCGAGGGCCTGAACAGGTGAGGGCCTGAACAGGTGAGAGCCTGAACAGGTGAGAGCCTGAACAGGCGAGGGCCTGAACAGGCGAGGGCCTGAACAGATGAGGGCCTGAACAGGTGAGAGCCTGAACAGGCGAGGGCCTGAACAGATGAGGGCCTGAACAGGTGAGAGCCTGAACAGGCGAGGGCCTGAACAGATGAGAGCCTGAACAGGTGAGAGCCTGAACAGGCGAGGGCCTGAACAGGCGAGGGCCTGAACAGGTGAGAGCCTGAACAGGCGAGGGCCTGAACAGATGAGAGGCTGGAGAGGGTGAGGGCCTGGACAGGCAAGGACCTGGACAGGTGATTGTTGCCATCGTGTACTCGTACAATATGAAAAAAATTTAATGAACAAATCATCATATCCGTCGCGGAAGGGTCATTGTGAAACTAAACACACAACTCGACACAATTGTTAAAACCGCTGGCAAAGTGAGCAGTAGAGTTTATCAGGACCGGACAGGCACAATGTGCATATAAATATGGGCTGGAATGTTCCATTTTGGGAAAACAAACAAACAGCAGTTGTAATTGTATTACGCGAATTTAAAAAAAACACACGAGTACACTATAAACAGTAAATACACGTATGAAAGTAAAGTATGTCATGCAAATAAATGCTCGGTAATTGATTGTTTTGTACCCACGTGATTCACATACGAATAAGGGAAAGAAAATGCCCATGCTGTCCGAAAACAACACGCGTGTCGCAGCGTCTGCAGGGGGTCATCTGGGCTTCTTCTTAAATCCTTTATATTAAATTCACTTGCTTGCTTGCTTGCGCGCTTACGACCGTGCAAATCTTACGGTCGTTTTTTAACCCACTTCCCGTGATCCAATCGAGCTGACATTTTGCACACAGACTCGTTGTGCGTGACAATTTATTTTCGTGAAAAATTTTTTTCTAAAATTTTCCACTTTTTAGGAATTTTTTTTTTCATATTTTATTTTAAATACCAATGTGATGAAAATGAAACTCTTACTCAAGAAAAACAGCAATGAATAATAAAATAAAACCGATGCCACGCATATAAAGGATTTATAGTGAAAAACTTTTTTTTACGAGTTAATTTATTGTTTGCCCAGGAGAGCCCGCATCACTCAAGTCTCAAGTTTTTGCAGCAGGGGGCGATGTTTGCTGCTATGCGCATTGCAAACGAGTACATCTGCCGGTGATATCTGCACATTCGCATACGTGTCAACCCCTTATCAGTGCCTACCCTATTATAGACCAGACCTTATTGGTCACCCCGTACCCTTACAAATCTCAACGTTCATCCTACAAAGTCCTATCACAAGGGAGAAATATAAACAAATACACAAAAACATTTTTTGCCCGTATTGAAACGACTGTACGCCGTACGAACATGAAAACTCAATTTCCCTGTAGCAGAATCCGGGGTAAACCGTATGGGTTGACACAGAACCGGCCCTAGACCTTTGGGGGCCCTAAGCAAAATTTGGTTGGAGGCCCCTTTGATGTATGATTTTTTTCACCCACGAGCCAGCAGTGACTCTAGGGGGCCCTCTGCTGGCCACGGGGCCCTTTGCAATTGCAAGGGTCGCTTAGTGGCTGGGCCGGCTCTGGGTTGACACGTGTGCATTCGGCGAATGTGGATCGTGACACGGCCACACGATGTCCGAGCCTTTGCGAACGACCCCGCGGGATCTCTTCGCCTCCACCGTGCAGCGGACAGCGCTCAGAGTCGCTGCGGATATCGAGCCCCGAGTTGACGATTTGACGGCGTTTCTGAACGTTCTAACCACAGTTCCTTGTCCCCTTCTTTGGACTTGGCGGTATCGTTGCCGTCGCGTGCCCCGCGTACAAATGTATCTTGGCGCTACTTGGCGCTAACAGAAGTGACGGCAGCCGACGCCACGTGACACCGAACCAAAAAACAAACCCGGCGAAGTGATGCCATGTTTGTGTACGCATTGGTGATACTATGATCATAATATAGGTTGTTTGGTGGGGGTTTATTTATCATGAATATAAATGTGTCGTTAAACCCGCCAACACCCGACACAGCCAATTAGTAAGGTTTGTCACGTGAACGGAACATGCTAATTCGTTACTAGTACGCACACTAGGGTGTTGGAAAGTACCCGGCCGAGTACGGGTAGCCGGGTACCCGTTTGCGACCCTGGTGCAGCCGGGTACGGGTACGGGTAGGCCGTGAGTCACTGGTGAGTAACTGTTTGTCACTCATTTCCCAACGTCTTGTCTCTTCTCACAATTCAAGTTCCTAGAATCAACCCACCTGCGCCTGCAACATGGCTTCATCCCAGAGGTCGCAATCAGGTACCCGATACCCGTACCCTACCCGTACCCGGGGTACGGGTACGGCCGGGTACGGGTACCCGTTTGCGACCCTGGTGCGGCCGGGTACGGGTAAGGAATCAAAACCCGGTTGTGACCTCTGGGACACATCCTCCTGTTTCCATCTGAAATCGAGGGATAAATGTGATGTCGTCACTTGTGAGCGAGCCAATCGGGTGCGAAGGCCAGAGGGGTGGGGGTGGGGTTAATGTCTGCATATCAATTGCAATGGATATCCCATGATTTATAGCGTGATTAACATACTTTATGCGTGTATATTATGCATGAACGCCATGCGTGTACATCCTTTCCGTTTTTGGGTGCAAGAAATCGCAATGTCTGTTATTGTCTGCTCAGTTGATCACTATTGACGTATGGTGACCTGTATAGGCATGCAGTTAAACAGTGTGGTATTACTTGATCATTCGTTTTCAAGCAGCACTAAGCCTGTTGCTATCAGAACAGTTAAAATTAATATGTGGCACAGGTCGCGTCTAGTTGATACTGCGCAAATAACGGAAAAAAAACATTCGTCAATAACAGTGCGTGGCCTTAAACATTTGAAGTCTATAACAGGCGACGTTTCAGGCAATGACCCTTCACAGTACATAGCGAGGTCAGAGCGGTGGGAGTGTGAGTATTAAATAGTATTCTCGAGGACAAACTTCCGTCCAATTATAATTCGTCGCGAGCGTTCAACGTCTGTGTATATGTCGTGTAGTAGAAGGACACTACTGCGTTGGCTCGGTATGGGGGCTGTAGGCGGGGGTCACGGAGGTCGTGTCAGGCTGTGACACTCTGCGTGAATATTCTTAGGTTTATTCGGTAAAGTCACGTAGGTAAAAAATTAAAATTTATAAAAGTAAAATAAAAATAAAATAAAAATCACGACGTTTCGGAGGCAACACAAGCGTCTTCAGGTGGAACCGTCACGTAAATGAGAATTATCATTTACTTGATACAGCAAGCGTGCTGTGACGGTTCCACCTGAAGACGGAAGCTTGTGTTGCCTCCGAAACGTCGTGATTTTTATTTGATTTTTATTTTACTTTTATTAATTTAAATTTTTTACCTACGTGACTTTACCGAAAAAACCTAAGAATATGAATACTTGCAGTCACGAAAGCTTCAAATCTAGAACTCTGCGTGAACCCAACAGGACACGTGACCGGATAAAGGGGAGCCATGGGCCCCAGGGGGGTCACGTGGTTGGGGGCGCGGGCCTTCCGGAAGGATCGGGAAGGGGGGCGTGGCTTGGGCAGAGCCGGCCACGCCGGAGTGATTATAAGCGAGGAGTGGACGGAGAGCCGGGCTGTTCTGCTGGGTCATCTCTGGGATGAAGCCACCATCTACGATCCTCGGTCTTCGGTCCAGAAATGTAGTAACCCCGTGTGTTAGCTAAGTTAAGAACGGTGGTTACCACCACCCCATGTCGTTATCCTGTCAATGTTAAGAGTTACCCGTTGTGTTTAGATAATAAATAGTGTTCCAGTGTGCGCTTGAATTGAACCCACTACAGATATATTTTTATTTGACCAGGTAAGGTCCACTGGCCACAAATGACAGCTCAACGAAGTGGCTTATCACGTGAAAATGTATCCCAGCAGCCAAACACTTTAAACGCACGGTTTCTAAATGTCGAGTGGAAAACCCGGAGAACCCGCAGAAAAAATCCACGCCACTACGGGGAGAGAGTGACACATTGCAAACTTCAAATATACAACAGGCATCAGGGTCGGGATCGAACCCGCGACGTCCAGCATACAACGCGAGGAACTAAGCAACTCGCCACCGGCTGGTGTTTTTGATTAGCAACACCCGCGCGTAACAGGTGCTATAGGCAGCAGAGGGCAGCGCAGCGAAAATCCATTGGTGCACTGCACTTATATGCTCCCGACGTCTACGCCCTCCCCCCGTCTTCATCAACGCAGCCAGCACTGTCTGCTTTGCTTTGCCAGAGCCGATTTGCACTGCGGGGGAAATTATGTTCGGCAGTATTTTTTCAATTCCTCAGCTTTCTGTCCTGATTTTCTTTTGTCATTTCGGTGACCTCCCCCACAGCCAGCCCAGCCACTCGGGCAAATACAACTCATCTTGGCCCGGATAATTCTCATCCGCGGTCAAAACTTATTGAGCAGTCGCAGGACAGCCAAACTTTGTCGAAATAGCGGAGCCGATTTGAAACGAATGCGCGTCGCTCACAATGCTGCGACGTTGGACTGAATTACGGACGTGAGGTTGGTCTGCGACACGCGGAACACTGTGGTGACGCTCTGCGATCGCGACGACTGGCTCATGTTCTGCATCGACGAGCTCCGCAAGAAGGTGATCACGCGGCGCAGGATCTGCGAGGCCCTCTCCCGGTACATCTTCCCGAGGAAGACGTAGATGAGCGGGTTGAGGCAGCTGTTGGCGTAGCCCACCACCGTGAGGATCTGGACGCCGGCCTCGATGGCCTCCGTGGCGTCGCAGCCCCCGATGACCTTGCGTCGAATGAGGAAGTCGAGGAAGAGGAAGAAGTGGACGGGCATCCAGCAGATGAAGAAGGCGAGCACCATGACGCACATGAGCACGGTCACCCTCTTCTCGTTCTGCCTCGTCTTCTGGAAGGACCTGCGCAGCTCCTGGACGATGTGCCACGCGCAGAACATCATGACTCCGAGGGGCAGGAGGAAGCCGGCGACGTTGAGGAAGGCGTAGTTGGCCGTGAGCCAGCCCGTGTTCGCCTGGTTGATGCACGCTGTGATGTTGTACTCCTTGAGGAAGACCGTGCCGCGGAACACGAACACGGGCACGCTGAACACGGCCGTGGCGGCCCACACGAGCAGGCAGACGCGGCGCGCGCACGACCGCGTCCGTCGCAGGCCCAGCGACATGGGCTTCGCGACGGCGAAGTAGCGCTCGACGCTGATGGCCGTCAGGAAGTAGACGCTGCCGTACATGTTGACGTACACGAGGCCTCCGACGACGCGGCACAGCGCGTCGCCGAACGGCCAGTCGTATCGGCGCGTGATGTTGACGGCCCACAGCGGCAGCGTGCAGACGAAGAGGAGGTCGGCGCAGGCGAGGTTCAGCAGGTAGATCTCGGCCGCCGTGCGCTTGGTGGCCTGCAGGCAGAGCACCAGGATGACGGAGAGGTTGCCGACGACGCCCAGCGCCAGGATGACGTAGTACGCGGTGGGGACGAAGACGTAGATGGAGTTCCAGATAGTGCTCTCGTTGCAGAACATTTCCGTTTCGAGGGTGAGGTTCGCGGGGCAGGGGGCAACGTCGCAGACGGCGCTCGCGTTGAGGCCGCCGTGCGCGCTCGCCGTCGGGGTAGGGCTCGCGCGGTCCATCGCGGGCTCTACCGTCTCCGTTGGACCTGGCGCGGCGGAACGCGCGCACGCACACACGCACACGCACGCACACATAAGCACGCACACACGCACACGCACGCACACACGCACGCGCACGCACGCACACACACGCGCGCGCGCGCTCTGTCAACGTCGTTGCCGACAAAACTTAACTCGAGCCCTTAGTGAAGTCACTGATGGATGACGGCCTCTAGTTGCCGTGTCAGTCATGTCATGGGGGGGAGTGGGATGGGGTGGGGAGAGTTGTTGAACCATACTTCACCAAACTGGTTGGTGAATGATGTTGGCCAGGACATGATCAGATATCACCTGCCACTGATGTTAGCCGTAGCTGGGAATCGAACTCATGTGGCCGATCGCAGTGCGTTCACCACTGCCTCCACCACTCCACCTCCGGTTTCTGATTAGCATACCAATGTTGTACACGGTACATGAATTCGTGTTATGTGTTTAGTGCATATAATGTTGATTCATTGAATGACCTTCATGTAACGGTACCCAAACTCATCATCTGTTGCCGTGGTACGTTGAGCGTAAAACGCATTCATAAGCAGAATAAGTGCTCCGTGTCTTCACACCACGTTAATATAACATGCGCGCGTGTTCGTCCGGGAGCGTCTTCCTTTCCAAAGCAAGCACACTCTGGACAGGCTTTTACCTTCTGGGTTTCATCAGCAGTCAAAGCCTGTTAAACGAATGCTGCTGGATCACCGGGCGTTATTGGCAAGGGCACTCCATATTAAATTCTTCCCCGTTCAACTGAATAACAAACAAACAAACAAAAAACCCCGCGCTCTGTATTGCCTGGTGAAAGCCTACTTAAGCGCAGTCTATCTTCAAAGGGAGATCAGTACATCGGGAGGATTCTAAATTGAAATCGAACCAACACAGATATTAAACACATGGCGAGAACGACGTGGACCGTTGCAAAAGCTTCAGTCCTGACTCAGTTCCGCGACTAACGCGGACGAAGCCAGACGTCCGAACTGTAGAAGGCGATGGTTTTAAATTCTCACAATTAGTTTGTTGTCCTTCCACTTGCGCCTCTGATGAGCGCGGGATGGCTACGTGCGGCGCGAAAGAAGTTCACGCGCACACATTGTTTGTTAATACGTCCCGGAAGAAAAAAAGCAAACGTCGCAAAGTCTCAAGACTGACTTGAAAGAGGGCCCTTTGCCACGCTGTGATGTTTGGCAGAAATCCTATCGAAGTGAACATCGGGAATAATGTAATTGGTCATTTTCAAGAGCTAAATGAATAATAGTTGCTTAAACAAAAACACAAATATGTATAAATGTTGATAAAACAAATATTTTTTGCACGAAATTTTTTAGTGAGAGTCATTGTGGGAAATGTGAATATGACATCAAACTCGTTCTTCCCGTGTGCGCCTGTTGTACGCTGGTGGGTTGTGTTAAACTAGATACATGTGGGTAAGGAAGCGATGTTTATTTTAGTAATGATAGTCGTTTTTTATATTATACGTATCATTTAGTTATTGTACAATGCGTCTCTCATTGAGGATTTCGAAGCACCGTTTCCAAGACCCGGCAGCAGACGTTTAGCGTGAACGATAACTCACGTAAACTAAAAGCAACGGCAGTTTAATTAAATGAATGCTAAAATCCGTTCGCTGAATGAGCTAAACGTTCAATAAACCTAAGTGTGTGAATATATTAATAGACGAGTTGGAATATTTATTTTTATAAAATGTAATTAAAACTTTATTTGAATTCATACGGAAAAAAAAAATCCAAGTTATGTAGAGCTACGTGACCAAATGGTTTGTTCAATTTTATTTTGTAATGCCACGATCGTGCAAGAACTCGCTGGTGGTCCCCATCATCAACCTCTTCTGAACGGTGAACGCCTCTGCTACACGCGGGGCATTATAAACTCAAAACTACGTAGAGATATTTCTGGTAGGAACCTCTGGTTACACCAGCCCACAGGGGATTGTTGTGTCCGTCCCTCCGTCGTGCAGGGAGGGGCTGGGTGGGGAGGGAGGGGCTGGGTGGGGAGGGTGAGGAGGGGCTGGGTGGGGAGGGTGGGGAGGGGCTGGGTGGGGAGGGTGGGGCTGGGTGGGGGGTGGGAGGGGTGGGGCTGGGTGGGGAGGGGCTGGTCACCCCGTGGTGCCCTTATAAAACTCAACGTTTAACCTACTCACGCCGGCTTGTGCCCGCCCTCACAGTCGGCCATATTTGCGGAATACACCACGCCGCCGTTGACCCTGCAGGCCATTGACCGAGCAACCCAACGTTCCTACCAGCTCCCTCCGCAGGAGAATGTGTTTAATTGTACCTGCAGGTAGGGCACACTGAGCTGCACGGCTCTTTTTTTTCAGACGCGAACTGGCCACAAATGTCTAGATTTGAAGCTTTCGTGACTGCAAGGATTCATATTCTTAGGTTTTTTTTCGGTAAAGTCACGTAGGTAAGAAATTAAAATTAATAAAAGTGAAATAAAAATAAAATAAAAATCACGACGTTTCAGAGGCAACACAAGCTTCCGTCTTCAGGTGGAACAGTCACAGCACGATAGCTGTATCAAGTGAGAGAAATTCCAAGAAAACCGTATTTTTATATATACTGGTTGAGGGTGGGAGGAGCCAAGGTAGGCCCTGAATATTATTAAAAACCTAAGAATATGGCCACAAACGATCGCTCAACGAAGCGGCTTGTCGTGTTGAAATGTGCTGCAGCCAAACGCTCCGAGCGCGTGTCTCTCAACGTGGAGGGGACAAAAAAAAAACCTTGAGGAGCCGGGAGAAAACTCCACGCGACCACGGGGAGAGAGAGAGAGAGCGCGCGAGCGAACATGCAAAAACTCCAAAGACGCATGCATCGTCAAGGTCGGGATCGAACCCACGACCTCCTGCATAGCAGACGAAGTAGATAAGAACTCGCCACTGCGCTGCCCTATTAACGATGACCCCCCCCCTCCACACAGTGTAGAGATCGCAGTCATCAGAACCACAGAGTGGACTCAATCGCCAACATCTGGACCCCGCGACCGTTCAACGGCGGATTCGTCAGCGGCAGTCGCGCCACTAGCCGAAGCGATGACCGCATGGCTCACACTGCAATCTACGCGCTCTTTTGCCATTTCACCGGAAGAAAAATCATTCGTACAATCGCCTCTCAAAACGCTGTGCAATAATTGTGCGCGGTCACCCATCAAAGAAGGGACCGATCCCCAACAGAGACAAGTTGTGAACGGCTTTAATCAGTGCAAGCGACTAACACAATTATCGCATGAATATAAGTCAGCAAGTATATACGAAAATAGGCATTTGTTGCAATAATTGGCGAGGCAGAACGTTCAGATTCACACACCAGGCTAGGACATCCGCCTGAATCACACTCCCGGCTCCGCTGCGTCGGGAGATGGTGTGTGGGAGATGTGTGGGAGATGTGTGGGAGACGGAGTGTGGATGTGTGGGGATGTAGGTGAAAGATGTGGGAGATCTGTGCAATTGTGGGGTGTTGAATTAAAATGTGTGTGAGAGTGTGGGAGTGGGCAGGATCGATTGGAGATGTGTGAGATTGTGTGTGGGAGATGTGTGAGATGTGTGTGAGATGTGTGGGAGGAAACGTGTGGGAGATGGGTGGGAGATGTGTGGGAGATGTGTGGGAGATGTGTGTGAGATGTGTGGGAGACGTGTGGGAGATGGGTGTGAGATGTGTGTGAGATGGGTGGGAGATGAGTGTGAGATGTGTGGGAAATGTGTGGGAGATGTGTGGGAGATGGGTGTGAGATGTGTGGGAGATGTGTGAGATGTGTGTGAGATGTGTGGGAGGAAACGTGTGGGAGATGGGTGTGAGATGTGTTGGAGATGTGTGGGAGATGTGTGGGAGATGTGTGTGAGATGTGTGGGAGACGTGTGGGAGATGGGTGTGAGATGTGTGTGAGATGGGTGGGAGATGAGTGTGAGATGTGTGGGAGATGTGTGGGAGATGTGTGGGAGATGGGTGTGAGATGTGTGGGAGATGTGTGAGATGTGTGTGAGATGTGTGGGAGGAAACGTGTGGGAGATGGGTGGGAGATGTGTGGGAGATGTGTGGGAGATGTGTGTGAGATGTGTGGGAGACGTGTGGGAGATGGGTGTGAGATGTGTGTGAGATGGGTGGGAGATGAGTGTGAGATGTGTGGGAGATGTGTGGGAGATGTGTGGGAGATGGGTGTGAGATGTGTGGGAGATGTGTGAGATGTGTGTGAGATGTGTGGGAGGAAACGTGTGGGAGATGGGTGTGAGATGTGTGGGAGATGTGTGGGAGATGTGTGGGAGATGTGTGTGAGATGTGTGGGAGACGTGTGGGAGATGGGTGTGAGATGGGTGTGAGATGTGTGGGAGACGTGTGTGAGATGTGTGGGAGACGTGTGGGAGATGTGTGGGAGATGTGTGGGAGATGTGTGGGAGATGTGTGGGAGACGTGTGTGAGACGTGTGGGAGACGTGTGGGAGATGGGTGTGAGATGTGTGTGAGATGGGTGTGAGATGTGTGGGAGACGTGTGTGAGATGTGTGGGAGACGTGTGGGAGATGTGTGGGAGATGGGTGGGAGATGTGTGGGAGATGTGTGTGAGATGTGTGGGAGATGTGTGGGAGATGTGTGGGAGATGTGTGGGAGACGTGTGGGAGATGGGTGTGAGATGTGTGTGAGATGGGTGGGAGATGAGTGTGAGATGTGTGGGAGATGTGTGGGAGATGTGTGGGAGATGGGTGTGAGATGTGTGGGAGATGTGTGAGATGTGTGTGAGATGTGTGGGAGGAAACGTGTGGGAGATGGGTGTGAGATGTGTGGGAGATGTGTGGGAGATGTGTGTGAGATGTGTGGGAGACGTGTGGGAGATGGGTGTGAGATGTGTGTGAGATGGGTGTGAGATGTGTGGGAGATGTGTGGGAGATGTGTGGGAGACGTGTGGGAGATGGGTGTGAGATGTGTGTGAGATGTGTGTGAGATGTGTGGGAGATGTGTGTGAGATGTGTGGGAGACGTGTGGGAGATGGGTGTGAGATGTGTGTGAGATGTGTGGGAGATGTGTGTGAGATGTGTGGGAGACGTGTGGGAGATGGGTGTGAGATGTGTGTGAGATGGGTGTGAGATGTGTGGGAGACGGGTGGGAGATGAGTGTGAGATGTGTGGGAGATGTGTGGGAGATGTGTGGGAGATGGGTGTGAGATGTGTGGGAGATGTGTGGGAGATGGGTGTGAGATGTGTGGGAGATGTGTGTGAGATGTGTGGGAGACGTGTGGGAGATGGGTGGGAGATTTGTGGGAGGTTGATGGCCCCAACCCGCAACATGAAGGATTGTCAATGCGATAACGCACATTTCGTTTCTCCCTTCTAAATTAAAATTAACCCCCCCCGCCACCTCCGCGCCCCCAAGCGCGTGCACGAAATGCACCCTCGCTCGGATCAAAAGATGCAAATCTGAGTTTTTAAAAATTTCCACGGAGCGTTTACGAGCGACCCGGATTCATCGGCGGAGCGCCGCGACACGCCGCGCGCTCCCGGCACCGCGGCTCCGTGCAGTCCGTGAACTCACAACTCACCTCCGATGGTGGTGGTGGTGGTGAAAATCAAATTCTCTGCCCCTCTCTCTTTGCCGTCTCTGCCGTCTCTTGCCCTCTCTCTCTTCCTTCCTTCCTTGCTCGCTCACACTCACTTGACCAGGGTAACGCTGCTTATCTGGAGCGCGTAAAGTGATCGCTGCATGAATGGCCCTTTGGTTAAGTGCGATCACGCGTCATCCTTAGCGGGGGATGGTGGTGGGGGAGTGGTGGGGGGGGAGTGGTGGTGGGGGAGTGGTGGGGGGGTGGTGGGGGAGTGGTGGTGGGGGAGTGGTGGTGGGGGAGTGGGGGAGTGGTGGTGGGGGAGTGGTGGGGTGGTGGTGGGGGAGTGGTGGTGGGGGAGTGGTGGGGGAGTGGTGGTGGGGGGGTGGTGGGGGAGTGGTGGTGGGGGAGTGGTGGTGGTGGGGGAGTGGTGGTGGGGGAGTGGTGGGGTGGTGGTGGGGGAGTGGTGGGGTGGTGGGGGAGTGGTGGGGGAGTGGTGGTGAGGGGGTGGTGGGGGGGTGGTGGGGGGGTGGTGGGGGGGGTATAACCCCTCCTCCCTGCACCACCACCCCCCGGGCCAAAACTCTGGGGTTCGCCCCGGGCCAGCTTCCGACGGTGTCCAGATTGGGAAACTTAAACAAGTGACGGATTGTTTAGCTTGAAGCTATTTGCCGAAGTGCGACAGCAGCTCGTAACCATGTTTGCATGGAATATTTTGTATTTTTCCGCCCTGAAAACATTCGTCCGCGTGCATTTTACAGATGTTTATAAACAAACAAAAAATAGTGGTTGGTTCAGAAGCACGGTCGTGACGACACGATGTGTATACGCGAGCAGGCACCGCCGACTGAGCGCGCAAGGGAAGAGATGGTGAGAGCTTGGAAGCACACGGAGAGACAGAAACGGGAACGCATCAGAATCAGAAAGGGTTTTATTCGCCATGAAAGTTCGCACAGACAAGGAATTTACTTTGGCCGGAAGGTGCATACATTCAACATTTAGGAATCTTAAATCTTAAATAAGTGTTCTTGGTTCTTTCGGTAAAGTCACGTAGAAGGGAAATAATAAAATAAAAAACATAATAAAATAATATAATAGTATTTTTATTATTTTATTATTTCCCTTCTACGTGACTTTACCGAAAGAACCAAGAAGATGAATCTTTGCAGTCACGAAAGCTTTAAATCGAAACTTAAATAAGTGGTTTACAAGTCTAACTATACTAAAGGTACAAGTCTAACTAATACTAAGGAGCTAAAGTACTGTAAAAATTGAATAAAATAAAATCGAAAATATACAATAGCTATAATATACAATATAAAATTACAAAAATGCAAATAGGGTAACAGTAGTGCAAATATGGCAGCGTGTCATTGTGCAGATATTGTGTTAAAGTCAGTTTGAGCAGTTAAAGTCAGACAACAGCAACGACAGCATGTCGATGAGACGATTCAAACTTTGCGTAGACGGGACACGTCGCGAAAGTGCGATGGGCTTGGGAAGTGGAGGACGTGCACCGAGGAGGTCGAACGACGAAATCCGTTTGCGCGCAGGTGCATTGTGGGCTATTGCATCACGTGATGCCGAGAGGTGGTGGTGGCTTGGGAGACGCCTTCGTCTAACAGTGGATAGACCATGGCACCTCCGATCAGCACGGTTGGTTTCGTACAATGCACATACATGCACGGTAGGTACATTTGAGTGGCTGTGGTGGCGCTGACCAATTGGGTGCCCGAAGCAGAAATACAAATTTGGGGTCCACTTCACATTTCAATTTCAAAATTAAATGCAGCGAGATTGCAAACGATGTAGAGACGAAGGGGTAGAGATGTGCCAACAATGTTTGGCAAAAAATCTATCGGTACAATCAGCTGAGAGACGAGAGATACCGATGGGGCAGAGAGGTAGGTGAGATGGATGTCTCGAGTGGTCGTTGGTTGCGGGCAGTGTCGGGTGGTGGCGGGTTTAACGACACATTTATACATTTACGCGATCTAACCCCCCCCCCCAAAAAAAAAAACTCTATTATGGAGGATATTGGTCGCGAAAGCCTGCCACGTGTTAAACTGAGATGGATGTATCGTCAAGAGACGGACGGAGTGAGGGTAAGAGACGAATGCTCGATCAGCCTGTTAAATTAATTGACCATTTTAAGTTCATTGGGAGCTGAATGCGACGGTAATATTTGTCACATCCCACCCCCCCGCCTCTCATCAATTGGAGAGGCCCTTTGAGCTGCTTAGGTGGGGCGCCTGTGACATTTGCTCAACTCGCTTCATCCCTCGAGGCCACCAGACCGCAGTCCGCTTCGGCTGATACCTCGAGAACCTTCGCTGGCGATTTCCACCCGCAGCGCCGCAACGAGTCAAGCGACGTACGCGCGTTTCCGAAGGCCATCAATCCGCATAGACGCTCGGTTTACGAAGCGCGGTAGCTTCCTATCAGTAACGTTGTCAAAACACGGATGTTGATGGTGGGGGAGGGGTTAGGGGGGAGGGGTAGCCTGGATGAGTGTCGGCACGGCACTGTGCTACTCGCGCTGCCGTCGAGTGGGCATTTTGGAATTTGCTCGAAACTAGAACAAGCGCGCCTTGTGTGCGCGTGTGTATATGCGCATGTGTGTGTGCGTCCGTGTGTGCGCCGCGCGTGTGTGTGCGTGGCCATGAAACGCGATTGCCTGTGCGCGCTAAGACATGGTTTTCTGTTTAAATCTGTGAAAGAAAAAATAACCGAACAGTTTTAAGTGCAGTCAGGGGGCCACGTTAGGTTCGATGTTATCGTTTTGGGGAGGCCCTTCGATTCGTATATTCCCTTGACTGTTTTACAACCACCCAAACCCGACGTTTGTCAGTCACTCTCATCATCATCATCATAAGTGTACGATCAGATTATTATCATCATCATCATCTCACTGCTGTGCTTCGCAATCTTATTCCATTACACGTCACTCGCTGTCGAACCCGCTGGATCTCCGCTGCACCTCCGCTGCACACGTGTTTGCATGCGCGACCGAGGGAGTTGAGAGGGCCGGCGATGGGGGCTGACGGCTGTCTGGGGGGAGGGTTGGAGGTGAGGGCGCGGGGGAGGGAGGTGCTGAATCGGCCACTGAACGGCACGGAGAGTTCGTCTGTCCTGGCTTGCGAGCAGCGAGCTTTTTCGTTTTATTCAGAAGACACCGCGGCGCACCTGGTCCTCAGCGCCACGCCAGTTGCAGAGCACTCCGCTGGAGTGCGACGATTGTGCCACAACCATTACAAAAGCGGGACTGTGGGTGATCTTTTGGGGGTGGAAGGGACACGTTTCAAAGTCTGAGGCCCACGGGCTGCAGCTACGACCCCCTCCCGCAGCCTCCCCTGGCTCACAGCGCCTCTCGGCGTCACGGAAGGTGGCTGCGATGGTGGCCCTTGCCTCTAAATCGTGATTTGCGTGTAAGCAATGGCAAGAGAGTTTGTAAACCGTGGCGGTGGTGACATTCGCTGGGAGGCGTGCAAAGCCGCCCCCGCACCCCATGCCCCCCCCCCGTCACCCGCTGGTTTACGATGTTAACAAGGGCGGAGCGATACGTGAACGCGACGTCGGAAAATGTGACTCTTTGAGAACAATACCGGGGGGTAAGGGGACTGGGTCGTGGGTTATTCGCGTTTCGTTTAAATCAACGATTCTGAAGCACGGTGCCCAGAGGCCTACGATGCCGAGCGGGCAGCGGCAACATACAGTGCTATTGAAGATGAGTTTTTTATGTCCTCTGAAGAAGGGCCATTGCCCGAAACGTCGCCCGTTATCTACATGTTTTTTTTTCTTTCATTTTAATGAAACAGTGTTATCGACGAAAGCGTTCTTTTTTGTTATTTGTGCTTTGGCATCACTGCCAACTCACAAGCTGCAGCAGCATCATCACCACATAATGCAATTAATGCGGGGGGTGTAATAGATAAGAGTTAACAGGCTTATGTAATGGTGCAACCCGAGTCTTATATGGGATGCCGGACGATGGGAGGGGAATTGTAATATCGCGCAGTGCGATGAATGAAGCGTTTGGCTCACTGCACGATGAACATAGCCGGCCTGAGTTGAATTGTGGGACCCGGGCTAACATTAGTGGCGAGTGGCATCTGAAACCGGCTCGCTGGCTTCACCTCTTCACCAACTCCACCCTGATGAACGTGGTGAAGTATGGACGAACAACTCCCATGACTGACACGATGTGGGAAGGTCTTCATCCAGCAGTGGATTGACAAAGTTTGAAAATAATTATTATGTATGACCAGCTTTACTACCCGGCTCCGCCCGGGACTAGGATTCTGGTCTTGGATTAATGCACGGCCTACGCGAATGGTGGGGGGGGGGGGTGCGTGACGTCAGCAGGCACACTGCGTGACGCTGCCGCATGCGGGTGACATCACAGATGTGACATCACCGCTCGCTTGCCGTGCAAAATATAACCATTATTGTGCCCCCCCCCCAAAAAAAAAATATACAAAAGTCAATTTTTATACTTTTTCCATTGTGTACAGTCTGGAAGCTACCCACATGCCAAATTTCAAGATTGTTGCATTTCGGGAAGTATGCTAAATACTTCGAATAGGCACGCCTATTCACAAATTTCCCTTTTATATATTACGACGACTGGTTACACAATGTTCTAGGTTGCAGTGTTGCCCAACAGCATCCGCAGTTAATCAGAATAAGAATAATATTTATTTTCACTGGACAAATCCGATGAGCTACACACCTCTCTATTTGACAGATGCCGAATAGGGGCACGGGGTAAGTGAAAGCAGAACATAAAAAAAACATCCACGTAAGTTCTGAATTTCCTCCGTGAACAATGATCTTCATTTACAGTGCCTTTTGGCGTCATCTGGTCCAACACCATGTGAGACTAGGCTCTAAGGAAAGCTGTCTCGTGTGTGGACCAATCAACTTCAAGAACAGTGCATATATTATCAGAGTTATGTTTTTTTTTTTGCATTATGGCTGCAGGTATTGTGGTCTATGCAAACATGACTCCTCGTAAAAAAGGTGTCAGTTTTGTTGCCAGATAGAAGGGTAAAAAGCCAATTATCAATAATTTTCCTTTTCTTCTCCTTCGCAGACGTGATCAGGAAGAGTCGGGGCACGTGCGCGTGGGGATGGAGGAGGGCAGGCAGAGGCACCGACATCGCCGGTGGAGTGGCACCCTGGGGGGGGGGGG